AAGCATTTATGTTCCCTCATTTCTATATGATCATTGTAACTGGCTGACATTCTGTATTACTCACATAAATGTCTACTCTGTCTTCACATAAACTTTAAACTTTGACAACTTTAGTGCTCAGATGGTAGGTAATACATAATTTTCACCATGTGTGTTTCAGTGAGAGGAGTTAAAGAGGGTCAAGTGCGCCTTGTTACTGGGCAGGGCTGGCAGGGAAGCATCACCTGTAAGTGATCGTGAGCCTGATGAAGTGATATTACAGCAAACTTCAGCCAGCTGGGGCATAAAGGGTTGGAGGCTTGTGGGGGATGGCCAGACCTGTACCTGTGCTGGAGTGACTAGGTATGTTGCTGAGGCTCAGGTGCAGAAGTCTGGTCCTGAGGCAGAGCTCCTGATGAGTTGAGAATATGAAGGTTTCAAATGGGTTAGAAGTCATGGTCCTTGTTACAGTGAGTAACTTTGCTGAGGGAAGGGTGGATTGAGGAGATGCCTTAGAGAGCCCTGATGGAGTGGAGAATGGGCTTTGGCCGTCTGGGAAGATGGGAAGGAGTGGCTGACCTGGCTGTGGGTCTGGGGCTGGTGTATGCACAGGGATCTGTGACCATGCTCTGTACACAATATACCCCGTATCAGAAACATGGGTGATCCAGAAGCATAAGTATGGACCTGGGTTCTACCTGCAGCTCCTTGTGCCGGAGCCTGCTCAAGAGTCTCCTCACAGTGTCATTGCTGGTGTACTTTGCTATTATTTTTGAGGGGAAGGTGCAGAGACTGTCACTGAGTATTATCTTTATAGCAGTTTGCTACAACTTGTGGCCATCTATCTCAGAGGTGTGACATTTTCCTGTTCTACTTGGAACTGTGCTCAGTCACAGCCTTTTTAGGGTGGGATGTATCTGCTCAACAGAAAACCTAAGAAAAATGGTGTTACATCAGTATTTTCTAAAATGTTTTTCCCAAGGATGAACCTTGTGAGTGACATACAATGCTATGTTAAATATAATTGAAGTATTTTGTGTGCATGGGAATTGTCTAAATATAACAATTATTTGGTAAAAAAGAAGCTCTTAAGTAATTCAGTTGTCTTTTAAATATTTTTACTCTATATACATAAACTATGCTGTAATGTATTGCTATTAAAATTGAATTTAATTAGCTTTACTGTTTTGAAGTGTGGAAAAGCCTTTCTAATTTTTAGCTTAGAGCCCCTCAACTAGCAAAGGACAGGAAATGCTAAATTTGGTTTAGTCCTAGTCATGTAATTCACGAGAAAACAACATAAGGATGGAGTTATGGTCCTGGTGCTCAGCCTTTAGTCTTGTCTTACTTCATGCTGGGCCTTTAAAAGCTGCAGCGTATAAAGTTAAGTCCTTGGAAATCTGCAACAAGCGAAGTCTGATTTTGAAATGTGAATAACTCAAAGCTCATGATCATGAGAAGCTGGGAATATGTAATTCTACTCTGTCACCTGGAATGCTGTTTCCCTGCATTGCACCTGGATCAAAGCAGGAAGAACGGCTTTTCTGAGTCTGGCACTGGAGCACTCTGCAAGCCAGTGGTAGTGCAAGTCAGTACTTAAATATGTAGTGTCCCCTGCAAAGTGTGTGTCTGTGCCTGGATTTGTATTCCTATAAGCAAATCAACAAACTGGAGATTTGAGGTCCTTTCCTGAAGTTTTGTTATTCTGCCAGGAAGAAATTCAACAGGACATCTGGAATGACATAAAGCAGGCGGCTGTGTATTTTAGTGGATCCAAAGCCAGTTGGTGGGGGCAGATCAATTACCAAACATAGTGTGTCATGCTAGGGGTCATAAGTTGACAGACCTGTGGTTAACTGGTTAACAGACTTGGGACTGGTGGCCCAAGGTTGTGCTGTTATGCAAATACTGACCTACATTTAAAGTTTTTTTTTTGTTGTTTTGTTTTTTTTGTTGTTCTTTAATTCTAAGGAGTGAATTCATAGAACTATTCCATTTTACATGCATAATGTTGGAAAAAGTATAATGTACGGGAGGATATATGTTCTCCCAAAGTTACTAATACAGGGTCTGTACTGAGAGTATAATGCCATTGTAAATGGAACCATGGTAAATGAAATGACTGATCAGTTAGCTGAGGAAACTGTATAAAATTATTTAGATCTCTAGTTTTGGGCTTTCTAGAGCATGTAAGACAATTTATGATTTTCTTGAGCGTTACTGATGGAGAGGTAAAAATAGTCATGTATGTGGAGCTGCAAGAACCTCAGTTTTTGCTGTAGTTGGTAAATATAAAATTTTAAGACTACTGTTAGAGGAACCTGCTGCTTTCAAGAGGGACAGCTGTATTTTCTGCATGCAGAGATGTCTCAGTTGCACACGGTGAAGTTGAACCATTTCTGTCCTTCAGAAGCCTCTGCTCTTCGGAGCAAAAGCCACTTGTTTCCTTCCTGTAGTTTCTTTTCATAGTTAGCTGTAGCAGCTCCATTCCAGAAGTGATTTCCTGGATCTCAATACTCGGAGCCAATGGGTATCCCCTTGTTTTGCTTTGAAAGCTGAGGCCATTTATTCAGACACAATGGTGTGTGCTTAAGGCATTTGGGCTAAAATACGGAAATGGTCCTTTTGTGCCTTGTGGCCACCAGAGGTCTCACCCCTTCTCAGCTGAGAACCCTCAACACCAGGGTAGTGACAAATGCTCGCTGCCTGTGCTCTGGGCAACCTCCAAGTGCAGAGAGGGAGCGAGAGAGAAGCTGCAGCACCTCTGGTAGCTGTGTTGAAGGACTTGGCCATCCGCACAGGAGGAGCTTGGTACCTGGTTCCAGGTGACAGTTCAGGGCTGCCTCCAGAGGTAGACACACTCCCACAGTCCAGTACAGCACTGAAGGAAAGAGGCCTTGAAGGAGGAATTGGTTTCAGGTATTCATTTTTTATTCTGTGAGTTTTCTGGGGACCATTAGTAATTATGGAAATGTTTTTCTATTATGTGTAGAATGATTTGAGGGGTCTGACAAGGTGATAAAAAGCACTTGAAAAGCTTTTAAAAAAAAAAAAATTTAATGGTGGGGAAAAGCACCTGCAGCTTGTTTAGTTTAACCTGGTGTAGTACGTCCCTGCTCTTCAGTGTCTTTTTTGTAGGGATTGAATGCGCTTCCGAGGTAGGCAGTTTGTTGTATATGCTAATTAATAACTGTAGAGTCACACCAAGGGTTTTGAACATTGGCACATATCAAAGTTGCTGTTTTTAGTGGAAGAGTTCTTGCAGCCTGCCAAATATGGGTGTGGTGCACCCGAGGTGGCACAGACTGCATACCATAGCACAGACTGAGTGCTTGAGATAGCCTTATCGGTGAGATCCATATGTTCATAAGAAAAGTCTGCCAGCTTTTGCTTTTCATAAAAAGAAATGATGCATTTTTCATGAAAATGAAAAGTTAACTTTTTGCATCATAAGGACTGAGGAGGCAGAAAAAGAAAGTTCAATGCATATATTCTACCTAGGAAAGTGTGGTTTGGGGCAGATGGAACAGGGGAGGTGGGGTTTCAAACGCTTCAGAAACAGCAGTAAGAATACCTGGAAGGGAAAGACCTCTGAGCAAAATCTCTAGAGAGCAGAATGAAGATAAATATGCTAGTACACCTCTCTAAATTGTCAAACAAAAGAGTATTTTTGCAAGAGTCTGTGAGTTCCTTTCTTACGGTGTTTTGATACAGATTTCTTGCATTGTTCTTCTCACCCTCAAACTGTACTTCCACTCAGATTTTTCATTTCAAGGAGCACTGACTGTTTCTTTTAAAATTCACTGGAAGAATTCCAGATATTTGTTCTGTGTGTTTTGAAAATTAACAGGCTATGGACTGTTAGAAATGGGACTGAGAATTTTTTTTCCCCATTGATGATGATGAGCATTTATTCTGTTTAATGGCTTTGGCTCCACTGAGTAAAGTAAAACCTAACGGAGTTTTCAGATGGTGTTTCATTTTTGATAAGTTCAGTTACATTATAAGTAACAGTTACATTGGCCAAAAAGCCCTGTGGGAAAATAGAGGCTTTTTCACCACTGGATGTCATACCAAGTCCATGTGTCTTTAGAACTCTCTGTACAAGTAATTTATGTCAAGTTTTAAAGATAGTTTCAGTGGTGTGAGACTCTGCTTGGTCTATCTGCTACTAGAAAACACATTATTAACAGAGGAGTGCAATAAAAATCTCTTCTGTCAACTTAAACTGAAATAAAAGCACAGCAATACCTGAATGTGACAAAAATGGCAATGCTGCCTGCAAGTCTGGCATGTGACTTTCAATGCTTTTTGGGACAGGGTCTTCAAGACAAAACCTGCACTAGCAGTCTGCGTGCCTCAGCTTCAAGTAATTTCTCTAACTGAAATTAATTGAAATACTTACTACCTGCTGTGATCTGAAGTGTCTTTCTCTCCCTTTGTTGCTGTTGTTACTACTCATATAAAGGGGGATGCCCAGTCTTTAATAAACTGCACAATCTGCAGGAACTTTGAAAGATTCTGGCATAACAATGTTATTTTGGAAAACACAGATCAGCAGCCAAGGAGGTGAATTTTAGCAAGGAAGAAAACTGACATGTCCCTATTAGAGTTTTTTGTGAGCATTAGAGCTTCTTAGAAAACATGCTGAAAAATCAGAGGGCTGAATTCTGGGGGTTGCTGCTAGCTGTTCAGGAGCTTCTCTGTGTATCTCTGATAAGTGATCTATTGCACGTAGCTGAAGTGGCCTGACACTTTTTGCTTGAATGGTGATTATTAGGGAGACACTTTCTTTGCCCCCTTAACAGATACCCAATATACAGTACAGTTAAGGGGAGTCTGCTGACAAGGTACTTCTTATCTGCAAGATGTTATTTATCTGCAAGCTGCAGAGAAATACTCTTCTGAGGCTGTAACATTTCCTTCTCCTTCTGTCATCACTTCCACAAAATATAGCCTAGAAACAGCACCCGGAGTGATAAAACTCTTATCACTCCAAATAGCACTGACGGAAATGTGGGATTCCCAGTCCCACCAGGTAATAGAGCTGACGAAGCTTTGGGCTCCAGAAGAGTGCCTAAAGGAGACTTTTTGAGCAGTCCCCATATGGTTTGGCCTATGTTCCTGACTCTACACACAGAGAACGTTTGTGAAAAGAATAGATTCTTTTCCACTCGAGACCAATCAGTGACAATCCCTCTTCTGAGACTGCAGCGAACAAATTTTCCTCCAGAAAAAGTTGTGTTTTATGGGACCAAAAGGCACCTTTCAAAACAGGTATTCTAGTATCTTTGTTCATGTCTCCTACTTGAACATCATCAAATTAGCTCAGTGGGGCTTTCCTGATAGAACGCATGTCCTTAAATGACTAACTCAGTCTGATTCCATTTATCTCTGCTGCCTGTGAGCAGCGCAAATGGTTTTAAGTAAGTGCACGTCATGTGGCAATTCTTGCCGTGCTATGCATTGCACCTCACCTGTGCCGGAACCTGAGAGTGGGTTCTGAAAGGTGTTTTGGATATTGAATCTCTGCACCTGAATTTAAAGCTGATAAAGCAGTTGACAAAAAAAAAAATCAGAATTTGTTAAGGAGTTCAATTAAGCCATTGTATAGTAAGTATTATTAAGAGGTAGCAGAAATGTTATTTCTCTTGGCTTTGGTTAGGACCAGTGTCAATCTCAGTCTGCTTTGAAACTAATTAAACTTGTGCAGTAATTAATTAAAATAAGAATTAATAAAATCAAGAAAAATATGCTTAAAAAATCTACAACTCTGTCAGAATATATTTATTCTTCTCAAAAGAAATGGAAACTCTATGGAAATTGAGAAAAATGAACTTCCAACATTGTCACGGGAGTCTAAGAATCAGTTGAAAAGCCAGTCTTCTATATTGAATCAACACTAGTGTTCATTCATTATCAAGTTAAGACATTTTATTTGGTAGCAAAGGAAAACTAAGAATGTTTCAATGCTCTTTCACATAGGTTTCCCCTTCCATAGGTTTCACCCCACCCAGCCTCTTACACTTTTTTGTACTTGTAGCAGCTTTGCTTAACAAGTCCTAGAGAAACAGAACAAAAGATTACACAGAAGTTTTGTTTAAAAAAAATGAAAAAATCTGAAACCACTAAATTAAAAAAAATGGAATGTTATAAAATCTTATGTACTTTTCAAATCAATTTTTATGCAGCTGCTTTTAATCATGTTTTCATGTTTATCTACAGTAAACTTTTCCTGTACTTAGTAGCTATGTACAGCTATAGACAGCTGAAAGAAAGGTCATGTTAATGTCCTAGTATCATTCTAATTGCATGAAGTAAAGATTTTTCTCTCCTTACCAGTTTTTCTTTCTAATGACTACTGCACCTTTCTTATGCTCTGTTGCAGGCAGTACATTCATGTGAGACTTAAGGTTTTCACCCAAACACATGTTAAATCTTCAGTACTTTAGAAGTGACACACTGTTTACGTTTGAATTTTGTTCAGTAAAAATGTAAATAGGACAGTGATTTTGAGGGCCGTGACTTCAGAGAAAGTTGTGTTGAGCTATAAAATGTTAGCCAAGATCTTTTCTAATCCAAATGCTAAAGATCAGCAGAACTGAGACATAACGTAATAAAAATGTATGTGGTCTTCAAATGGCTTAGCTAATTAACACATAAAACAAACTAGCAAATTTGTTTCAGTATTCTATTTAAAATCTCTTACCACGTTTGTACAGTGCTCAGACACTGTCTACTCGTGGGCAGCTTTCAGAATGGTGTGAAATATTCTCTAAGGTTTAGCAAGATTAACTGATTAACTTGACTTGTTTTGTCATGTGGGTTCTTGCTCACAAAAATTGAGCATGTTTATGAAAATACTAGATTCATGCTTATTTTTAAATATAGGCTTAAAACAGTCTTAACTTCTTACTGAACTGTAACTTAAGGGTAGTTAAATATCTGATTACTTCATAGTCAAGATACAGAAATCATGACTCACTACTGTGAGAAGTTGCTGGGCATTTGCTAGGTGTTTTTTTTTTTGTTCTCTGATCCAGTATCCCATAATATGAAGTGACATTTTGTGTTTGGAGGTGCCCCATGGTTGGCACTGTGTCAAGCTGCAGTGCATATGCCCTGTAGCTGTTGTGCAGGGATGGCTGCTGGCTGTGGCAGGCTGGCCTATTTCCCATGGCACTAATTGCTTTTGGCATGCCTGAGCTGTGCCCTGCTGCTCCACTGGGATCCAATGGCTGTCCTTTGTTTCCTGTCCTATATTGGCCCGCAGTCCTTCTCACATTTGACATTTCTGTGTTAAACTATTGTGCAGCACAGCCTGATTTGTCATGTTCTAAAAGCCATTATTTTCAGATAGAGGAGAACATCTAGATTTGAATTAAAAGTGTGACCCTGAGCTCTCTGAAGGACAGGGTTATGCATGTCTGCCAGATGCTCTTCTGAAGGAGCTTTGACTTATGCTGCGCTCTCTCTCTATTTAGAGCTAAGCATTCCTGTCTTTGCAAAACCTGAAAATCCTTCTCAGTGGCCTGCTTCAAAGGAAGATTCTGTGTCTGTGCTCTTTTCATTGCTGTAGACTTTCTATCTGTTCTGCCTCAGTTTAGGCATGGCTGTGGATCCTGGGGCATGTTAGAGCAGCTAGGAATGGAATGAACTTTGATTTCAAAATTCAAATGTTCCACATCAGTGTGTGGAAAGATGGACAGGCGGATACCTGCCCTCCCTGTTATTTCACTATTGTTTTGCCTAATTGTCATCCTGCTCCATGTGCTTGATGGCCTAATCTCCATTGCCTGGCTCTGGTACAGTTTCATCTCCATAATTTCCTGGTAGGGCATGGGATCGTAAGGTAAACCCTAAGGGCTGGGTGTGTGCAGGGGTCCTGGCAGAGGTGCTGGAGAGCATCACTACAGGTCCTCATAGGGTTTCTGCCCAAAAGTTTCTAGTAATGGATGACCAGCAAGCGGAGTACTCTGGGTTGATGAGTATTGTGTCAGGGAGCTTCCTTTTTGCCCAGGCCACCAGGACTACACTTCTGCTTTTGGAAAAGCCTGGTGTAAGTGATCACTCTCTCAGTAATCGTACCAGTGTATTTATAAAAGTTTTCCACTTAATACTTCGTTCTTTGAATCTGGAGGCAAGTCCCAGCAATATTTCTTCAGGCTACCTTCTCTTTCAAATTCTGAGCAGGGGTTTCCTCTCAGCATTCTCAATCCATATTGCTTTCCTGCAAGCTGCTGCAAACAATACTTCGGCATTACCTTCCCATAGTGTTGATTCCTTGTTTTCACAGTAGCATTTCAGCTTTTAATTCAAGGAGGACACCCTTACATGAAGTGTGCAATGTAATAGAAAGTGTTATCCATGTTGCTTCAACTGCCTTGCTGCTTTTGGTTTAGCTGGGTCATGACTGTTGCATTGCTTCCAAACTGTGGCCAAAGTAAATGACTGGGATTTTTTTATTTTGTCTTCAGTCATGAACTTTAGAAATTGTTCTTCCAGCAGCACATGAACAATAATATTAATTTGTGTTGTTTTTTTCAACTGCTGCGTTGAAAGGATGACATCCGTTTTGGTTTTAATTCCTTTGGTGTATGTTTCTTAAGACACCTGTTACATGCAAGAAGAGCCAAGGACATTTCTTGGAGTGGCATTTCCAGGTATTAAAATAGTTTGTTGTGTATGGCTATACATCTGACAGAAAGCTTGTGGATGATGGTGGGCCAGTTAGAATCCTGGCATTGAAAATATTGCAGACAAAATAAAATACCAAGCTCTCACTCCTGTGCCTCCCTCAACTCTGTTATACTCAGCTGATGCTGGAGCTTCTCATCTGCCCGAGGAAGTGAATGAGCACTGAAGTGGGACTCATTGCCTTTCCAACCACCAGATCACAGTGTTCCACTAGAGTGCCTCCATGCCAGGCTAAAGGACACGTGTCCCCCCCTGGCAGTGCGAGGCAGTGGCTGTCACACTGCATGTTGCATGTACTGAGCAGAGGCCAACTAGAATAAAGTGTGTTTGCAGGCTGGCTGGCCTTGCAGTGCAGGGGGCAGGGTCACATGTTGATGAGAGAGAGAGAAATTGGAAAATGTTCTTAAAAAGTGGAGAAGGGTAGTGGATGAGGGCAGCAGGGGAATGACACTGAGGAGAAGCTGGGAGAGATGTGAAAGGGTCACTGTGTTGGACATTGTGGGCAGCAAATATTACAGGAGGTGTAGGAGATGGCAGTGGTGTGGGCCAATCCACTGTCCTTAGGTTTGTTCATGTACCATGTCCTGGTACCTTCCAATACAATCGGAGTTTTTATTCTGCGACACCCCACAGCAACAGTAAGAGACACCTGTTTTTGTTTGCATGTCACCATGCTGAAATTAGCTGTTCTGGCACGTGTCTTATTAGTAGGTTTAATTCCATAGCTTAGACTTTGTTCTTAGCACCAATATTCAGCACTGGATGACCTCACTGAAATTACAGATGTGAGAGCAGGTCCAAAAAGGATCCCAAAGTCTCTCCTCACTCAAAGGCTGGCACAGCAGGTATCTAATTGTATATTGATATGGCAAACTCTGTATGTGATAGCAGAGAATGGGAACTTGGAGACTGCTTCAGCTGGAAGCAGGAAACTGACATAAAGAATTTTTAAGCTAATTCAAAAAATGATATATAAAGTTCAGATAGAGATAACTTACATCCAATCCTAAATATGCAAATTACTTAGAGGATGTATTGGTAGGCTGTTCTTTAGGACACTAGCTTGGTTAAACAGGATGCTCATTGCAGCCTTTTTTGTGCAAAGGGCAGCGCTTTCTATTCATTAGCCAAACATTTCTGTATAATGGAACTGCTTTCCATCTCAAAGCAAAACTTGGGGTTGTTTTGTGTTTTTCTTTTTGTGTTAGGGGAATTTCAGGCTTTTTTTAAACAAACAAAAAGAGAAAACTACTAAAGTGTGTTGGGTAGTAGTTTGGTTTTACTCTTGGGAAGAGGTGTGAAAGGCTTTAAATGTTATTTTCCATATGATTCTGTAATTAAATTGATTTAACACTATCTATGTAGAGCTTGATATAGTCCATTTGGAGAAAATTCAAAAGTAGGTATAGAATGGGGTTTTAAATTAATTGTCTGTTGTGTATGTGCCTTGCTCTTTTTTAACTTCCTTTTTTTTTAATCCATTTTATCACCTCCTACCTGTTTTCATAATTCTCATTGTGGAATTGACTAAAGTGTTTATTAGTGTTTCATGATATAAATGTTTTAACTGATCTCACATC